AGTTTTGATAGAAATCTGACTTTCTGTGCCTTACAAGTAAATGAAATTCAAAAATACTATATCGCGATACATCGCTATATCGCGACGCAAAACTGACGATGCATCACGATATATAATTTCTAATATCGCCCTGTCCTAATTAATAGTATTGAAGTTACATTGGAAGAATCTTTGTTTTAAGATACATAAAAACGATCGAGATTATGGCAGCAGTATTGACAATATTCATGATATTTACACACAAAAGTATGAATAAAAATAATTATAATTGAAAATGCAGGAAAAAAATATAAATAATGTAGAAGAATCGAATATGTTTAACTTTTTTTTAAAATATAATTTCATACAGATATATTTTTGAGTGTTGCTATAAACCAAAATTGTATGGTCCTTTTAATAGTGTTGCCATCCATGAATCAGACAGGCATATATAAAATATATTTTTAAAAATAAAAGCATATTTATTAAAAAATGTATTGTATTTTTTCAATTTCCAAATTATATCCAGATTTTGAAAAGGGAATCTATATATCATTTGGAAATTGCTTACATGCAAAATGATAATTAGTAGGACGTTCTCACTGTAGCCTTTATTTTAAAATGTGGAATTGATTATATAAGCTATAAAATATCATTGTGAATTTAAAATATAACTGTAAATACATATTTAAACATAAAGAAGTTATCAACATTGTCCTTTCTTTTATAGACTAATTCCCGTGATCCAATGAGAACACCAATGCAGTGGAATTGCGAGAAAAATGCTGGATTTTCAACATCTGATACACCTTGGCTCCCTGTGAATACATCTTGTATATTTAAAAATGTTGAAGTGAGTCATTTGCACTTTATATTCTTTTTTATGCTACACTTTTATTTTGTTACTGCAGTCGTCTCTGATTGATGTCACAATCCAATTATTGTTATCAAACTCATTTGATCCGTATCTTATTTATTTATTCATAAAATTGTTGCTTTCTGTGATCCTTATATTGTTCAGTGTTATCATCATTAAAATTTTATTCCATGTTCCGACTAGTTAGAGTGATTAAATCTGAGCGGAAGCTCCGTGCTTGATGACCATGCAAGTTTCTATGGTTTCCTAAATATTGCGAACAAAACTTTTCCCCGTTTTATCGCTAGTCAAAATTTCAACCACTTTTCAACATGAATGAACAGACACAAAATTAAGAAGAAAAAAATATAATTAAAGAAATTAAAATTTTTTAAAACAATATTTTTTAGGTGAGCTACAGAAGGAAAAAATAATTCTTTTTTTGTCAAATCCTAAAATTGAAAGTGCAGTCACTTTCGTAATAAACTTAAATTATCACCAAAAATTCTCTGCATGTCTTTCAAAAATGACACGCCCTGCAAATCATTTTTGGTGTGATAAGAATAAAATTATTTTTTCCCTTTTGAAATGCTTGGAAAACATAATATGTAAAATTTATTTTATTTGAATTTATATTAAGTTATATTGCAGTTAACTTTACCTGTGAAACACCTGGGGTGCGGATCCGATTTTATGCAGGCGTGTCCGATCATGCATACAAAGTTATGGGAATATTCTGGCAATCCTGGGGGAAGAAAATTTGTCCATTGAAAAAATTGCCACACAAGAAAAAACCCCAATAAATATAACATAACTAATTATAAGTTTTAACATAAAAATAACATTAACATAAAAAGTTTATGAGTGGAATCTAAAATTTATAAATATAGTTTTATCAATTATTACTATTTCAATGTATTTAGCTTTTAATTATATTTAACATAAATGCTAGTTTGTTCAAGAATTGTGTAAACTCAAGTGATTTTTTTTTTCCTTTTTGTTAAAGAAAATTAAAGAAAAAATTTTTATAGTAAAATTTTAATGATATACAAATTTTGCTTTCTAAAAATATTTTTAAAAAGTTATCATAACTAATAAAAGCACTATGATATCAGATCAAATTTCAAAGCAAAAAACTGTGTTCTGGGTAAATATTAGGCTCTGAGAATTTATTGTACCCCTGTGAAACATTTTGACTATTTGAACATTTAAAGATATTGTTTAAAAGTTACTGTTTTTAGGAAGCATTCATATGTATGTTGAAAATATCTCACACACAATTTGAAATTTACTGGTAATTTTGTAGATATAATTCTTATCAAGTGTTTTAGTTTCATTAATTTCTTTTAAATTTATGTAAAGGCTGCATGAAATGTAGTATGTTTTATTGGTGAAACTGCAATTATTTGGATATTATTCATCCATATTACTCTAATTTTTTTAATATTTTTTCATCAAGAGATTTTAATTTAACTTTACGAAATGGAAAAATTAGATTGAAAATTTTGTTCTTTGAAACATTTATAAAAATGTAAGTTTTTTTACAAAGTTTTATACATCAAATTAATTTGAATCCTTAAACATTTACTTTTGAACATTTCGATTTTTTGGAAATACTGATAATCAGTATTTTAGACGAAGAATTGGTTATTATCTAGATAGGTAGGGTTCTTTGAATAACTTAAAGTTGGATTTTTTGTACAAGGTCTCGTACACTAAAATATTTTTAATAATTAAGATAAATGTTAAAAATTACCTACTGATACTTGTTATTTTTAATACAATATTTTCTAATAATAAATAAATAAAATGGTCAAAAGTATGCTTGCTTTAATACATTTCTAATTTGAATGAGCCAGAAAGATTGATTACTACTTTTGACAAAAAATCTACTATTTTCTAGAAATCACTGTTTACTTTACATGTTCCTATTCCAAATTTTTGTTTAACCTGTATTGTTAGATCAATCCAAAATTGCTTAATATTATTAAAACATTATTCATAATGGTTTTGTCTTCTTATGAGTACTATGTTGATCTTATCTTCAGATATATCCTTTGTTTATTGAGTTCGATAAGCTATTTTATTTTATTTCATAACTGTCATTGAACAGCCAACCGAAATTTGAGTTTACAATTACCAATGTGCAACTCGGTAACATTGTAATTCTGAACCTAATCCAGAAGGCAAGGGAACTCCTGGATAAAGTATTGGGAAAAATTTTGCCTTTGTAAAGGACTTTTTGATACAACTAACCACAAAATTGCCAAAGACGAAAATAAAAAAGCCTCCCATGGTTAGCCTGGCCGCATGGGAGTTCTAACCCATAGTTGTCTATTACTGAGGATATTTTGTGTTAGCAATGTGATTGGTTTGAGTCGGAAGTAGAATTAGTATCAACCAACCACTACTGTGGTTCATACCTTGCTTACTTCATTGGGAGGCGAAAGCTCTATTCCCTGATCTACCACGGCTCTCTCTTTTATTTACCATACCTTTTTAAATTCTTATCTGTATTGTTTTACAGTTAAGGTTTTGGTAGATAAAAATATTTTGCTTCTAATTTATTACTTTTGCTGCCACTTCTAACTACAGATTTTTTGTACTTTTTAGAATGTATTTGTATAATTTGCAAAATTGCCATTTTCAATTTTCAAATACATAAAATTCATATATATATATTTTAATTCAAAGTAATCATAATTTGGCATACATGCCATCAAAACACTTTAAAACAATGTATGAAATAAGAGTAGTAGCTATGCGAAAATCAGCCTTTAATTTCTGTTAGGCTAATGTCTATTTGTCTTCATTAAATCTATGGCCAGAAATAAGGTTTAGTCGATTTTATGAGGCACAGCTAACAGAAATAATAATAAGAAATCGTAATATAGAATCTACTACAAATTACATTCTTGCTTAGGTCAATTAGCTAATTTTAAAAATTTTCCAGTTTTTATGCAAGAAAAATCTTTTTATTCATTTGTTTTGTTAAAAATAAAGTTGGAATTTTAGGTTTAAAAAGAGGTTAAAATATTCTAAATTAATGTGTGCCAGTAACCATTTTTTATGCACCATTGGAACCCAGTCCTCTGAAATTTTTCTACTTTTGGGTATAATTATCATTTCTCAAATGTATAAAGTGTGAAGTCTTTAATGTAATTCTTCTTTTTATTTTAGGTTGAAAGGAAAGATCCATTTTCATTTCTGAACAATTTTAAGAAGCTCATAACTATTCGAGAAGAACCAGCCATATTATTCAGCAGCTTAGTATATCCAGTTGTGAATGAAAAACTATTTTCAGTGTTACGTTCAGTAGTTGGTGCCAAATGTTTCCTTTTACTTTTGAACATGAGCTCTGAACCTCTTAGAGCTGACATGACGACTTTATCATCAAATTTACCTCAAAAAGCTATTCTTGAATTAACTAATTGTGAAAAATACTATACACAAAAACCGCAGTTACAGAAGCATTTGGGTGATAATAATAACAGTTCACTGTTAGAAACTACAAGTAGTTCCTGTAACAGTGAATCTGCATGTGCCTCTACTGGTGCTAGTTGTGTCACTGAAAGTGCTGAATATATCGACCCTGTTCCTAGTACTAGTTTTGCGAGTGAAATTTCCACGGATGTCAATTTTCAGGAATTTATTTACGTGCCTTTAAATGATATTTATTTGGGACCTCATCAAGCCATTGTTCTTTCCTATATAGGATAATAAATTTTTTGAAAGTTGACTTAAAAGCTACTTTTTTTTAAACTAAAGTTTATGTATAATTTTGAGCATATTTAATATATTTTTAGATGTATAGTGAAAACTGTATTTTTAGTGCGTTAAACTTACAAATTAAGTATTTTAATTTACAACATTGTTAATATTTTCATATATGGCATAAATTTAGCATGTTATGCTATTGATAAAATGTGTCTAATTTTTGTTTGTTTGTTTGAACTGATGATTATTTAGTCACTATATTTCATTCTTTTTTTTTTCTTTTTTTTATTACTAACTTGTAATGTTTTTTTTATTTTTATTTATTGGGTATTTTGTTAGTTGTTATTAATAATCGCTTTTTTCTTTTTAATTATATTAGGCTTCTTTGTCCACTGTTAGCTATCACTGCCTACTTTATATGAAATTAAAATAAGAAAATTTTTTTAAATATACTAAATTTATATGTTTATAAAGTATTAAGAGTTTCTAACCATTTCTTTAAAATATTTAATAGAAAAAATGTTTGAATATTATTAAATATTATAATTAAATATATTTAAGTAATATAATAAAATATTATAATTGTAAAATTATATATTTTTCTTATTTTTTCAGTGTCATTCTAAATTAAATTACTGATGTTTTTGATAAAAGTATGTTTTTTACATTAAAAAACAGCGGTAAAGTGTAGTTTTATATTGCTCATAGAATTTAACTTTTTGCTTATAAGAAAAATTAAAATAAATAACAAATAAATTACAAATGTATTTAGTGTAATGCATAAATTATCACTTTTTATTTTTCCTATTCTTTTGTTCATTAATTTCTTTTTTTATTATTAGAAATTTAAAATAAAATTCGGGGAATCAAGAGACGAACTAATAGATTTTTTCATAAGTCATTGTAAATGAAAACACTTATAGTTTTTTTATACAACAAAAATAGTAATCACCGAAATATAAATTGCATTAAAAGCAAAAATTTTTCTTGTAACCCTTAATTAAAGATTGAAAACTTATTTAAAAATAGTGTAATAGATCTAATTTTACTATTTTTGTAATCAAATATTATTATTCTGCAAATCTGCATAGTATACTATTGTAATGTTATGCCACATAAATTAATAGTATTAATGTTGTATAGCAATATTATAGTATAACAGTACTTGACTTTGTACTTGAAAGAGTTTAACTATGTTTGGATAATTAATGCATATAAGCAGTTAACAAGTATGTAAATGAACTTAACATCGATTACCTTTGGGGTATTGTGAAAACAAACAATTTTAGCTATTGATACCCCTTTGACTTTTAGCTATTGTAATTAAAACAATTTATTTTCACAGAATTTTTGAAATTTTTAACTAACTTTTAAATTGTAAATTTGATTCAATTTAAAATATATTATATTCATCTTATTGACATTTTATTATAAGTCTCAAAATCTACTAAACCCTTTTAACAGGAACTATTTTTTAACAGGAACTACTTTTTTAGCAGAAGCTTTGTTAAATGATGGAATTGATAGCAATTTTACTTGTTTCTTTAAATGTTATTTGTATTATTAAATTGTGTGAATGTCTTTGGTATTTTGCAGTGCACCAGGCTAATTGGAAAAATCTTCGGCATTTTCTAGTCTGGGTAATAATTTTTTTTAGTCTTTTTACAATCAGCTTGTAAAGGCTAATAATGGAACAAGCAAAGAATTACTCAATCAGACGGGATTTGCTGAGAGTTATTGCAATAAGCCCATTAAACCATTGCAACGACCCAATAAAGTCATTTACGAAAACCTCCACTATTGTGGGGCTATTGCAGCCTTAACCTAATCAGACTAATAGAGCAATAAATGGTATATTTTTTAATTTATCTAAAGGTATGCGAATTCACTGCAATTTGCCATACACTGTCAGGCTGATTAGAAAATACCTGTTACTTTTCAAATCAGCCTATTGCAAAATGATGGTGATTGTCGACTGTCTGCAAGGAGCCGAATTATTCAATCGGGCTAAGATCTAATCTTTATGTGGCTTTAGGCTTATTGTATTTAAGCTTAATTTTTATTGTATTTAAGATTATTGCATTGTATTAAAATAAACTAACCTTTTTTTTTACTAACATATTAGGAATTTTTATCCTCAAAGATGCCAACATGTTAAAGATATGGTCTTGATAAGTTACATCAGGAGAGAGGACAGATTTTTGAACTTTTTCATATTATTTCTGTATTCAATTACTGGAACTAATGCAAATCAAAAATATTTTGCACTCTCTTATAAAGTTCATTTATTTAAATATATTTAGGCAAATATACTATAATAATTAATTTGTACTTGAATTTTCATTGATTGAAAATGTTGTGAATTGTAAGTTATACAAGTGTGATAAGTTCTTATAATGTAATTTTTAATGACAACATCAAAACTTAATATTGTTTGTAATGCAATGTTTTCGCTAGTGAAGATTTGAATATTTTTCTACCTTGTCAAGTAAACAGGTATGATATGTTAATACCTTATATTTTGTGCTAAGGAATTAAGATAAAGCAAATATGTATATCTTTTTGTGTTTTCAGTGTAGCCTTTGAGATAGAAAATAAGAATAATGTATTTTGATTTTTCATTGTTGCAAACATCTGATTTATTCATTGTAAGCTATGGTCCATCTTTTACGTAGACTCCAGACATCTAACTCATGAGCTAGTTTCTACTGTGGTAATGAAGATGATATGTCATTTCAAATAAGGATGTGAGGTTAACTGTTGCACATTGAGTTAAAATCGAAGAGCTATGTAATTTTTTCAACTCTTCTGACATTATAAATTGTTTTATTCTTGTTTACGTAGCAGCACACAAGGAAGTTCTTGTAAAAGCTGTAAAGTACTAAATTGTGACCCTAATTGTAGCTATATATTTTGTAGAAACAGTTTTTCGAAGTGTTTTGTGTTTGGAGTTGAAAAGAACTACATATTTATTAATTGTTTAAAATTATTATTCCTGATCTATTGTTTATTTTTTGATAAATATATTGGGAAATACTATTGATTATGTATGACAGGGGAGTAGTCAAGAAATTTTAAGAGAAGGGGAGCCAAATTACTAATGCATATTAAGTATTAAATTTTAATATTTTTCTCGTCGTCTGTATACAGAGTGATTTTTCCTTCCTTCAAAAATCGCACAATTAATCTGATTTATTTTCCTTTTTGGAGAAGCTGAGCCAAGTTTCCTACATAGTTTTCAGCATCAACTTTTCTGTATCTCATTTATAAGATATGAACATTTTTTTATAATAAAACATTCTATAATTATCCTTTTCTCTGCTAATTTCAAGAACCGCTGGTCAGCGTCAAAGACATTAGATATGTAACGAATTTGTGCCAATCATGTGATATTCTTCGTGATAAACTTTTTGTTGCTTGAAAAACTCTAGTAAAAGATACTATTAAGGTTTAAATAAATACTACTTAGATAATTTGATTACACCTGCAGTGCAAGAAAATTTTTGTGTTATTATTGGAAATATATAAATAGGCATGAAAATGAACACTCGCTAATTATTAAAAATTACTTTCTACAGTTTTATAACTCCATATTTACCCCAGTATCACCCCCTTTTGACTACACCCTTGTAATGTGATATGTATATAAAAAAGAATATTGTGATTTTAAAACCAAATTTTTTTTGTGAGTGATTTTTGTTCATATACATTTGTATTTATTATTATACAAATTAAAAAATTAATACATTTCAGAAATAGTGTTTATTTTCATCAACAGGGTAGTACATAATCAACAGCTATAATCACTACTTAATATAGCCATTAACGTTGTTGTTTTGCAGTTGTGAATAGTGCTTGAGTAATACCAAGATGCCATTGATATGTCTGGTTCGTTGCTTTATTTAGGTGTTCTTGAATCACTGTCCTTGATGTATATTTTTATAATTCTTGTAAAAAGTAAAGTCATGATTTAACAATTGACAGCAACGTTTTTTCAAGCGGGTCATTTTTAAATTTTTGATGTTGGATCTCATCAATTCCTTATGTTGCGTATTATTTCAGAACATAATAAATGAAAACACTATACAGATCCAATATCCACTAGGGGACCTGCTGGTCATTTGCCCATTGATTTAGATATTTAGGGCAGCAAGTTGATATTTAAGTGAGAAAAATAGAAAGTTTTTTAAAATCTGGCGAATTATCATGAATGACCTAGATTTCGCGGAAGACTTGTTCTTTTTTTCTATTTTTTTTCTCCCAATGCCCGCCTGGGGAATGACGACATACAGGCATCTGAAGGGCAGATTTGTTGGCCACTTTTCCAGGGGCACCATATTAGGTGTTCTAACCAAAGAATATATATTCTTTCAAATTACCAAAGAATATATATTTTCTATATATTCTTTGTTCTAACGTTACTCCCACAGTAAGGGCAGATAGTACAGAGAATGAAAGAACATCCATGCCTTGCCCGTGATTCGAACCTAGAGCCTTTCTGATGCAAGACCAGTTCTCTGACCCCCTACACTGGCCGGTCGGCGAAAACTTATGCTTACTGACCAACATACATACAAATAAAACACACACATTTTAAACGTAGAGGCAAAGAAAATGGGTCTCATTATCAATCGAAATGAAACTAAATTTTTTTTAAATGAATCCAAAGCAATTAAATGAGTCATAGTTCAAAAATATTAAACTGGAAAAGGTAAACGGTTTTAACTATCTTGGAAGTATAATTAACAGCAAAAGAGGAACTGATGAAAATGTACTAAATAGATAAAACAAATCCTGAAGGAGTCACATAATTCTTAATAAATTCTGGAATAACATAAGCATAACAAATTCAACAAAAATTAGTATTTTCAAGTACTGTTAAATCTGTCCTACTCCATGAATTGGAGACATGGCACTGCAATAATAACAACAGAAATTCATTATTTTATTAACAATAGTTTAAGAAGAATCTTACGCATCAAGTGGTTCCAGAAAATTAGTAACACAAAAATACTTTTAGCAGCAAAACAGAAACCAATTGAACTGGAAATTTAAAAACCGTAAATGGAAATGGATAGGTCATGTTATACTTAAAATTGAGAAATTTGAAGGGGAGCAGGTTTTTAATTGTAATCCTCAGAGCAATCGGAAAAAGATGAGGACCTAAAAATACTTGGTGAAGGATATTATAAATGAATTGAAAATAATAGGAATAGCATCGAAAGAGGCAAAATATCTGACCACAAATAGAGTGAGATGGAGAGCTATGATAGATGTCCAATGCGTCGATTCAGAGTAAAGGGGAATATTAAAATATGAAACGGGATTAAAAATATGAAACAAAAGAGAAAAAAAATTTAACTCCTATATTAAATTTAAAGACATTTTTAGTAAGCATAGTTTGATTGTTAAATGAGTAAGACTTTAAAATTTTCTGAATTATCCATTAGTGTACAAAGGATTTCATTTCATCTTGGTAAGGTGAAATAGAAAAATCACCGTTAGCGGTTAATTGAGATTTTTTTTTTAAACTTTGCATTTTTGTGTGATAAGCACTTGCATGGTTTTTTAATTGCACTGCAGTATTATTCTCTACTGAGGTCTATGCTTTATAATGTCCCGCAAACATCAACATTTCTACTAGCAACATGGTAGCAAAGCAAAATTTATATGAGACCTATGTTATCTTATAAAATACAGTTAATTTTTTTCTTAAATCATTTTGTCGGATAAGATAAAATCAAGTGTGGATAATACTCACGCCAATTATCGGTAGATTACAAGCGCTTTCATTGCATTATCATCCAAATGATTTAATAATCTTGTGCAAACTAAGCCAATCCGTTAACGTTTCAATAACTGTGTGGTACTTTGTCTTAACAACAATATATAAATAGCGTCTTTTCCGAAAACTATGTCTAGGCTGTTAATGTTTGGTGGAATTCTAAATCTGCTTAGCCAGAGAAAACAAGGCTCACATAAAATATGTCTTTGCTTAGAAATATCCAACAATCTCAAGGAGAAGAGTAGGAAGAGCCTTTCCCAATGAAGTGCCCTAGGTTCGACTCGCAGCGACTGGCTGGTCGACGCGAATTTCGCGCTGATCACAGTGCTGATGTAAAATATCCTCAGTGGTTGACGAATCATGGGTTAATGTCCTCTGGTCGTCAGGTTAACCTTGGAAAGTTTTCTTGGTTTTTCCTCTTCGTGTAACATGAGTGCAAGTAAGTTCCATCAAAAAGTCCACCACGATCGCAAACTTTCTCCCAATACTTGATCCAGGAGTTCCCTTGTCTTCTGGGTTGGGTTCGAAATTATAACGCTGAAGATTGAAATCTTGGTAGTCTTGCACTTAAAATCGGGCCGGGTATTCAACGACGGCCAGAAAATCGATAGGAATGAAGCGTTCGCTTCCCAACAAGGTGATCCAGGTTAGAATGCCACCGATGGTTGGTCGCTACAAATTTTACATCCGTCTCACACAGACCACAGTGCTGATGTAAAATATCTTCAGCGGTAAATAAATCATGGGTTAGATTCCCCTTACCGTCAAGCTAACCGTGGAAAGTTTTCTTCGTTTGTTCTCTTCAAGTAACGCAAACGCAGGTTAGTTCCATCAAATAGTTCGCCATGGTGACTAGTTTGCCCCAATGCTTGATCCAGGAGTTCTCTTGTCTTCTGGGTTGGGTTTAAAATAACAAGACTGCATAGTTGAACATTAGTAGTCGTAAACTCTGAATTTTGTCAGCTGTTCAACGGTGGTAATTTAGTAAAATAAAATAGCGAAGAGAAAAAATTACCAAAAAAACCAGCGGATAAAATACCCGGAAAAAATCGATTAAAAAGAGTTCAAGTTTTACACAAAGGAATCATTAGGTTTAGATGTGAAGAATTTAAATAAATTTCGGACTGTTTAATGAAATATTAATTTAATGACTGATTAATGGTCAAGGCATAACCTTAACATCAATACAAAATTATTTTTTAGATTTTTGGTTCCAAGTGAATAAAGAGGTAAGTGTGAGCAAGCAATAAAATTGATTATTCAAACTATTGTTCATTTAAGAAGAGCAATTGTAATCAAATTGAAACTGATTTTAACATAAAAAAATTCATTCTGAAGTGAATTATCTAAACATCTTTTATTTTAATTAATATTATGGTCTAATAAGTATTAATTTATGATTAACAAATAAACTTAATTCCAACAACAACAACAAAACTGTTTTAATAACAAGTTAAGTATTTTTATTTAAAGAAAAAAATTATTTTTTGATTCGAATTTAAACTTTATTTTATAAACTATTCTTTGCAAATTAGTATGTGTCAGCTGAGAAGCAATAATAGCATTAAAGAATGACTCATTTTATAAATACAATAAAAGAATTAAAAATCCCCAGGTAATTAGTTTTTTGAATTATTATTATTATTGAAATATTTTAAAACTTTAGTTTCTGATAAATTTTTCATTGTACAAAAATTAATTGAAACTATTTATGAAAGTATGAAAAAAGATTACAAAGAAATCGTATAATTAAACATAATTGATCCAATTTTGTAATGATTTATCCTAAAAAATGATTTTCTGGTTCGTTTTTCGGATGCTTTTCTTTTTCGGTGCTCTTTTTTTCCACTCACCTAGGTGAAGCTCAAGTATCAAGGTAAAAATCTAGTATTGCAAGAATACTCAATAAATAAAACATTGTTTCACATTTATAGGATATATATTTACTTATAGAAGAATCTTTGTAGCAAAAGTTTTGGTATATTTTAACTTCTGAATTCTAATAAAATAATTTTTTTGTTCTTAAGTTATTTTTTTACAGCAGCCAAAATCAAACACTGATTTTCAAGAATAAATTATGTATTGTAATTTTAAATGTTTGATAAAAGTTCGAAATAAAAACAAATATTAGAAGAGAATTTTTACATATAAATTTTTATGAGAATGTTAACAATCACAAAGAATTTTTTTCTTCATCTATAGCTCAAAATCACAGGGGAAATTAAAATAAAAAAAAGTTTATAAAATTTTTTTTCAACATTGAGTCTTACATTTTTAACATTTACTTATATTAATTATAAACTAGAAAAATTTATAGATGAATATTTATTTTTACTTAGTATTTTAATAAATTTGGTTTTAATGTATACTAGTTTAAAAATTAAGGAATTTTTGAATAAAAACTAATTTTTGAGGAGTCATTTATTAATTTTACTCTTTATTTATACTAATTTAAAATGGAAGAATTCATAAATGGATAGCAATACTTATTAACCCATTTACTAAAATTTATAGATAAATAAAGTTACGGTAAAAAATTATTTTTCAACAAAAAATAGTGTTTACTGTCATTCAAATAAAACTTAGGAATGTTTTTAAACTTAATCTGTTTTTAACGGAGCACTTCCTTTTACTTAGTTTTTTTAGTAAATAATTTAGACGTTCGTAATTATTTACTTTACTTTCAGTATAAAATAAATTCAAGTATTAATTTTCAAAAATAAATTTTTACAGTGTTTTTAATAACTTTTTAATTTTGCTTTAAAAGTTGATTATTTTATTTATTTTTTTTATTTTGAATTTTTCAAGGAAATTAACATAAGTATAATTATTATTATTATTTTGTCTTAGGATTTAAATTTTTTTTATATATATCTAAAGTAGAAGGTTAAG